AAAAAAAAAAAAAAAAAAAAAAAAAATCAACGTGGAAATTAAAGCTGACCTATTTATGTAGGATAAGCTTCATTTCTCATTTCAATACCATACAGTTTTCAGTAGTTTTCCTTCTAATGAATTATTTTGCCACATTAATGATACAGGTCCTTGCAGACACAAAGGAGAAGAAAAGAGATTATCTGAGTTACAAGCTATACAAACCCCAAATTATCAGTGTCTTAAACATGTTTTAAGCCATGATCCACTTCCTGTGCACCCATGCCAATCTGTGCACACATCCCTAACCTCAGCACCATACCTAGACTCCTGGTGGCCCTGGGCAGACTTTTAGTATTGGGCCCCCCTTCTCCAGAAATAATGATAATAATAAACTTTTAAATTACCATTTTCGGGCCCTCTTTCTGTCCAGACCCCAGGCGACTGGCCCAGTTTGCCCATGCCTACGTCCAGCCCTGCTTATCCTCCCATGGCCCCCTGGTCTTTCCCCTGCTGCACTGCTCCAGGTGGAGGGGCAGAGGGGGAAGGGCTTCATCTGAGTGATTCCTGCTTCAGTGCACAGAGCTCTGGCTCCAGCTTCCAGCTGCCTTCCACCCACTCTGCCCTCCTGGCGAGATGAGCAGCCACCCAGGGACAGGTGGAGCAGGTGAAAAAGTGGCTGGGGAGCTGGAGCCCCACGCGCTCCAGCTGAAGCTTCTCCCCTGCCCACCTGGAGCACATGGCACAGCAAAGACAGGAGCAAGAGGAGGAGCTGCTGCTGGAGGCAAGGGAAGCAAAGCAGCACCCAGCTGGCTGCAGCAGCATCAGGAACAGCCCCGCTGGAAGCTGTGCTGGCTGACGTCAGGGCTGGGTTGGCAGTGTGGGTTGCCCTGGCAGAAGCAGGCAGGCCTCAGCCTCATGCAGAGCATTGTGGGGCCAGCTGTGGGCTGGAACCAGTCAGTTGGCAGGGTGGGTCCATCCCACAGGCTGTATTTTTACCTGCCCCTGTATTAAACAGACATTCACGAATATGTTTTTAAGTTCTAGGTCCACAGGGAGGTTTGCATAAGGAAGCTGTTTTAAAAGCCGTAACTAGCTAATAAGTGAAAAAGGGAGTGGGCACCATGGTAACATCAAGTTAAACATTCCTTTTGTGTATTGGGACCACAGACTTATTACCACAAAAATATAACCAAAGTGACTTCTGTTTACTTATATTCCAGACTATATCAGCAAGCTGCCAACTGTTCTGCAACATACTTTTGAATCATATCAACATATTATTGAGCATGAGCTGTGTTTTCCCAATAACACTGACTGATGCAAGTTATTCTAAACTTTCCAGATGTTTAGTTTAAATATGCACATTGTTAATGTAAAACTTGTATTTTTTAATTTCATAGAATATATTCAGTACACACATGCACACACACACCAAATATTAAAATAAAGGAGAAACAACTTGCACTGATAGCATTAATCAGTAATGACTTGGTTAAGAGATACAGTATGACCAACTTTAGATTACACCTCATAGGACTCAAACCACAGAAGGATTTAGAAAGAACAAATAAAATAGGCCTAGAGTATCTCACTGCTAATCCAGTTCTGCATTAAAAATTATTTTTGAAGTCTGGGACATTTAAGAATTTAACAGCTCCTACAAACAAGGTCTTCTGTCAGACCAGATACTTCATAAAAAGAGCTCAGATTCTTAATGGCTTTCTACCAAGCTGATTTACCAGCCCATCTAACAGGCACTGTTTTTTATACCAACTGGTCCTGATTTAATCAGCTTCTAGTTAGCAACTGCGTTATGAAACCAAATCTTCACAAATTCAAGCAACCAAAGGGGAAATGGAATTTTTCTATTTCTTCTCCAAACCCAAGACACTCAATGTTCCTTGGAGAAGACTCCCTATGCTACTTCTCGATTTCCGCTTTTGAGTATTCTTTCCTTATGAAGAAACTCCAATTGCCTCCCTCTCCTAGCATTACTTTTCCTAACAGAAGGATGAAACTGATATACTCTTAACAGTTCCACTGACAACAAAAGAGTTCCAAATTACAGTAATTAAATGGTCCAAGGTTACTCATTTCAATTATGCCATATTTGGGCACAAGTGTGACCATAAACATAAGCACATGCCCTCAGGCAGCATGTCCTCAATTCAGACTTGGTCCCCATTTGGAGCACTATCTTAACAACCATTAGGGTTATAAACTTTTTAAAAAATAAATAAAAATAAAAGCTTTGACTTGCAAAAGCTGACTTAAAGATGAGTCAGCAAGTACATTTTTCAAACCCTGGCTCAAAGTACCCACCAAAATCTTCTCTACTTTACAGCTAAAATGCTTGCTTTAGAGGCAAACACAAAGCTATTTAAGGTATCTTATTTAATAAACAGCTCAAGTCAGTCAACAAACTGAAAAGGAACTAGGTGACTACACTGGCAGAGAAAATTAATGTTTCTCTTTAATGTTAAGCCATCTGACTTGTGCAGAGAGAAAACAGCTGCACTTCTACGAATTATCACAGCACCACAGGCAACCTGGCCTGATGATCTCCCTTAAATTGAGACTCTCAGTCTAATCCTTGTTCTGAAAAAAAGAGAAGGAAGCAAAAGTTGAAACAGGGGCAAGCCCAGACATGGCACTAGGATCAGGACATGAACCACATATCCATCCATGAATCACATAAAAGAATGCTCCAGGAAAGAGTTCTCAATCCACGGATAGCTCATGGAGCCATACTACACTCACATATTAATAGAGCCTCATCAGCAGGGATCATGCAGCTACTCACCATTTCTGAGCCACTGGCCATCTTTAGAGGTCAGGTGAGGAGCTTGTGGAGGGCAGGTGAGGCCCTGAATGACTGGAAAGGGGTACATATAGTAGAGGTACACTGATACATCGGTCCCATACAGGATTCTTACTGATATAAGGAAAATTGACAGCATTGGTAATCGGCTTTTTTTTGGCTGAGGTGGCCAATAATGCTGCGCGTGTGTGTGCAGCTGCAGCGCAGCCCAGCAGCATGGAAAGCAGCGTCCAGCTGATCAGTCTGTTGTGAGGGAAGGACCCTTCCTTCCCTCACATGGGGGAAGAAGGCTGAGGTCCCCGTGGCAAGGGAGGGAGTGTGCCAGGGGCAGGCGCTGCCCAGCCAGGACGGGCACAGGTCAGAGCCACAGCTTGTCCAAGGGACATGGTGGGGGGAGGCAGCAGTAGCACTGGGAGCAGGGGCTATGGTGAATTTTGGGGTGGCTGCAGCTTCCCCCCACCCCATAGCCCCACTCCCAGTGCTGCTGCCGCCCAGGCCGAGAACAGCATGACTCAACCTACCCACTGGGAAAAGCTCAGCACAGCTCCAGCCCCAGCCTGCAGTGGCAGCCCCCCCTCACCTGCATGCAGATCCTGGGGCACACGCCCCCCATGCCCTCCCATGGTGTGTGCAGTGGTGGGAGCCATGCTCCCACACCCCGCCCCACGGCCTCTGAACAATCTATTGTAGCTCCATCCCATGTCCCACCCCAGCTGGGCAGCGCCTACCCCAGCCCCACTTCCTCCCTCATTGTGGGGACCTCAATCTGCACCCCATGCCCCTTCCCTCCCCCTTCCCCATCAGACTTACCAGCCAGACATTGCTCCCCATGCTGCCAGGCGGTATATCGGCAATCAGACTGGTATCAGCCAATACGGATCATTAAAAATCAGCCATCAGTATCAGCCCAAAAAATTTCTATTGGTGCACCCCTAAAATATAGTGCCCGTCTTCAAGAAAAGGAAGGAGAAAGGTTCCAGAGAATTACAGACCAGTCACTCTGACCTCTACCTGGAGAGATTATGGAGCAGACCATCAAGGAATCTGTTTTGAAGCACATAAAAGAGAGCAAAGAACAGCCAGCACAGATTCACCAAGAGCAAGTCATACCTGACCAACCTGATTTCCTTTTCTGATAAGGTGACAAGCACTATTGATGGGAAAGCAGTGGATGTGATCTGCCCTGATTTTAGCAGGGCTTTTGACAGTCTCTCATGACATGTTCATTGGCTTTTTTTGGCTGGTGTAGCCAATAATGTCACCAGTAAATGCCACATGCATGCACACAACTGCAGCATTCACATGGCCAGAAAGGCAGAAGAGCAGAGGCTCTGCAGAGGGTGGAGATGGGGAGAAGAGGCTAAGGGGGCAGATGGCAGGGGGAAGAGGGCAGAGCAGCTGAAGTAGGGCTGGACCAGGAGCTGCAACATCCACCTGCCCCAACACCACCCTCATACTTGATTCTAAGACAAGGGGCTGTCTTCCCCCATGTTAAAAAGGGAAGGGCACCTCATCTTAGAATACAGTAAACACAGTGCATGCACAAATAGAATGGGGAATGACTAGCTAGACTTCAGTACTGCAGAGAAGGACCTACAGGCTATTGTGGACCATAAGCCAACAGTGTATTCTTGTTGCAAAACAACAGTCAACAGCATAGTAGGTTGTTTGTCACTTACAAATAAAAGGAAGTGATTATTTTGCTCTATAAGAGACTGATGAGATATCACTCAGAGTACTGTATCCAGTTCTGGACACCAGATTTCAAGGAAGATGTGGACAAATGTATAAAAAGTCCAGAAGAGAGTGACAAAAATTATTAGAAGTGAGGAAAATGACTTAATAGGAAAGACTGAAAGAACCTGGATTATTTAGTCTGGAAAAGAGAAAACTGAGGGGGAGGATTTGATAACAGTTTTCAAATACCTGAAGGGCAATTATAAAGAGGAGAGAGACAGACTATTATCTGTGACCCAGAGGGACAGGACTAGGAGCTTTAGCCTCAAACTGCAGTAAAGGAATTTTAGGGTGGAGATTAGCAATAACTTTCTTAGTATGAGAGTGGTCAAACATTGGAACAGGCTGCCTATAGAAGCTGGGAATCTAAAAAATGTCAACCATTTTTAAGATAAGGTTGGACAGACTCTTGACTGGGATTGTTTAGTCATCGATGATCCTGGCTTTAGCAGGGAGCTGGACTAAATGACCTCCTGAGAATCTTTTGAGCCCTAGTTTCCTATGACCCTATGACACTCAGCCAGCCCCATCTGGAAATGATGCTAAACCCTTGTCATGGCTTCCAGAGGTATGCAAGTTTCATGAAGAACTTCTGCACTTCAGTCCCTCTAAAGACCTATTAAGGGCTTTCCACAGCTATAAGAGGTCTTTTAAAGGTCCTTCACTAACTTTCACTCAGTTCTGCCTTCTCATTTCCTCCCTCAATCTCATGGAAGTTATTCTAAATACATAAAGTGGTTATAGCCTATACATGTAAGTTTCACATATTCTCTATTAATCAGTCTACCAACAACATCAACCCCCAAGATTAGTAATGTCATGCTCCTATCTACAGTCAGGTACTTTCAAGAACAACACAAACTTTTAAACTAAAACAAGAAAGAAGTAATGAGTATCATTTACAGTACCTCAGTTTTTAGCGAGAGTCCGCTGTTAAAGAATATGGCTGAAACAGCAATGTAAGTTATAGTAATTTCTGGTTTCAAGGGTCCTAAAAAATATAAACACAAAAACAAAAAGCAAAGTAAGCCAGTGTTAAGCAGACAAAGGTACAGAAAGTTATAAGAAATCAAAGTAACTGACAGCATATTTGGAGTAATTCTGATCATTAAAGTCAATTTTTAAAACTTAAGTTTTGCTTTGTAAGTAAACATCACTCTTTTATATATTTTAAGTAAAAAACGAGACTCATAAGCAATTGAAGAGAGAGAAAGATTAGACATGGTGTAATGAAGAATATGCCAACAGAATCAAAACCTATTTGTTACTACAGCTCTTTTGTGTGTACACAGCATGATGGAGTGCAAATAAGGAACCTTCCTCCACCCTTGGATTGACCTTGTGAGATCTGTAGTCCATATGTTCAGAGGAATGCAGTGACTACACTCTTTTTTTTTCCCCATAGGGGTTTCAGAACCACCCCAGCCCCACCTGCACCAGCCAGTAGGCCCAGCTGGCAGCTTAGAGGAAAGCAAGCTGCACTCCACAAAGGGATTCAAGTGACTATACAGTTCCACGTAAACCCTAACGGGGCTGCATGATCAAGTCCTACATGAACTGCAGTGAACAGCCAACTGTTTTTGTAACTACCCAATCAGGTTAATTTTGTCAAAAGAAAACATTAGTAATAGAAGTTCCGATCAAATTAATACTTGAACTGAGCACAGGGATCCTATTTTAAAATGCAAAATTATTTTCCCCTTTTTTTACTTCATACTACATTTAGTATTAATCATCTGCCCTAAGTAAAACTACAGCAACCAAACAAACAAGCCACTCTTCTATACTTCAAAATAGAAGATCCTTTTTGTTCTTGTGCATGAATGACACACATTGATGTCTTGGAGAAGCTGAATGCAATAGATTTGGATAATGTTCATTCAGAGGGAGTATGATGCCCTTTAACTGGGCTTGATTGCCCAACTCTTCTCTCTGAGACTAGGAAAAGATGTTGCATTTTTCTCTAGACAAGTTGTACCTGCACCTGTCCTGCAACAAAAATATCCTAGATGGGCATGTACACACATCGTCCTTCTAGTCACAGTTTAATGAATGACTGAATGCACTGCAACTTTCTGCCTCTGATTCAATGATGCAATCCTGGGAAAATTGTTCCAACGCACATTCAGATGCCCTGTGATAGACTGTTAGTACTTCTTACCCAGTGAACCTTCTTAGGATTTATGCTCGGACAACAGACAGAGGTCTGAACAACTGTACCTTGTCCTAGGATAAAATGGTTTATCCCAAAACAAATGTTATGTTTGTCTGCAGCCTTAGTCAAGTTTTACTTTCATATAGGCCTTGCTTGGTGAGATACTAGAACTGTAAAAAGAAGTCTCTATATAAAACACAACATCAAGGCAAGTGTGGAAATGAAAGCTGCAGCTACAGAACTTGATTCTGTTGCACATTCTGTATCTTTTCTAAGAATAGCATATAATACAGTACGATAAGAAACAGAGAGAGACAACTGCTACACGTGCCCAGTATGTCTTTCATCTGGTACTACTGTAATCTGATTTTTACTATCACCTGGTTTTAAACTGTGCAACCTGAACATTACTATGTGAACTTATGAAGTGATCATCACTTTAGAATCAGGAGGATTAAGTATTTGTCTAGTGCTAGGAACATCCAATGGGGCATCCAATCTCTTTTGCAAAGATTTTTATAAAGAGTACGTTCTAAGAGGAATGAAATAAGCTCCCATCAGCCAACAAAACATTTAAAGAGATGAGCTTTGTATTGCAGTTGGAAAATACCAGACACCATTAGAAGTCTGTTCTACTGCCAAATAAAGCTCAAGACATGCTGCACTATGGCTCTGTTGGCCAAAAAGTCACAAAGTCTCCTACCCTTTCGCCCCCCAAGACCATGTTTTTTTTCCTCCAATGTCTTTCTAACTTTAAAGCAGTAAGTGGCAGAAGAGTAACTTGAGATCATGTGGCTGGATCTGTGGATGGTTTTGTTTTCTGTTGTCCCAGGAACAATCCCTGACAACTGAGCAGTAATCAAGTTGGGCAGGAATAAGTTCAGTGCTTATACAAGAAGAGTCGTCACTAGGTTGTTTAAAAAAGGCAAGACACTCAGTATTGATGGCTCTACAGACCTATGCAGAGCTTTACTTCCAATGCAATTACAAGGGAAGGACTTTGCACACTGAGTTCCACACAGGATTAGTACCTTAGTTGCCAGACAGCTCAGAAATTGTTCTTACAGTACTTTTAAGACTTGACTTTTTTTTCTTCCTCCAGAAGCCAAGCATAGGTACTAATTCCTTGAGAACAGTATGTCTGCTGCCAAACTTCAGCTCTTTAAAAAAATTAAAAACTATGTATGGAATATTTTTACAATGAGGAGAAAGGTGTTTCGCCATGTTAGTCCCAAGTCAAGCCGAAGGTAGGCACCTTAGAGACTAATTGGCTCAGAGGAGCATAGGTTTTGTATGTAACAGCCTGCAAGTCATATAGCTGTTGCCTATGAAAATTCATGACTCTCTGAACCAATTAGTCTCTAAGGTGGTATCCTGCCCTACTTTGTCTTTTAAAATGAGGGAAGTGATTTTTCCTCCTATTTTTCCTATGAAGACAGTTAAAGAAATATTGTTATTTTTTTTTCATATCATATATGCAAAGAAATTCACCTTCAGGCAGAGACCAGCCACAGAGAAAATTACCATAAAACGTGGATGTTTTGGGAACTTTTGAGCATTTGGACTTTGCTGCTATAACCAAAACAAACCAGTAGGTGTTACTGGTTATGCAATATTTATTATTAAAATTATGCAATCAATTAAAAACCAAACAAAGCACCAAATGTTTCACCTGCTATTGTTACAAGTAATGTATTAATCTCCTTTACTGATAAGATTAAAGAATTCAGTTTGTTGACTTTATACATTTGACAACACACTTTATGTGCTCAGTTCCACTATTTCCCCTGCATAGTAAATCAGCTTCCTCTGTTGTTGATAGGGAAGCAACAGAGGACACAAAAAAATGGAAATGTATTATAGTAAAACAACAAATATTGATAAGAGCCATCTGGGGTAGAAGTAGTACCTGAAATCACTTCTAACTCAATTTCAAGTTGTCAGTCAGTGTCCCTCTCAAGTGGGTCAGGGATGAAAGACAATCAGATATTAAACTCCAATTATTTTCTTTTTAGGCATTTCTTAATGAAATTCTTTTCACCAAGTCAGCAGAACCATGCTCAAAACAGATTTTAACCTGATTTTCATCCCTATTAATCAAGTAAGAGATGCATACTCTTAAACACTTTCAATTATGGACCCTACCTTATCAATCTTTGTACAACACCAACCTATGACAGAGATGGGAATTCAGTAAAGGATTCTTCTTGGGTTATGTTAGAAATGAATAAATGTGATTTGCCATGTTTACATTTTAAAGTCTAAAACCTGAGTGAGGAAAGCTGAGTCTTGCAGCTTCCTCTTCTCTCAAGGGCCTCTTACCAACCCAGATTTCACAGTACACAGAGGGAGATGACCTCGGAGTGATAACTACTCCACTAATATTAAAAAAAAGGTATATAAAAGTACTGTTTCCCAAGATGCAGTATTGTTACAAGAGAGAAACCATTATTAGACTTAGAAAACATTTCACTCCAACATCTCCAACTAAATGTCTGCCAACATCAATTTTGTTTTTATATTTGAACAAGAGCATGGACCCTAGTGGGTGTGTTTCAAGTCCTGAACCCCTCATTTAAGTTTGTACAGTCAAAGTACACAGCAGCTTGATGGAATACAGCTGCACCTGGACTACAAAGTTACAAACTAATTTAGTTTTTAATGCAAGAGGCAAGGATTTCTTTTTAAAGCAAGAATACCTTTTCTGGGACCAACTGTGTAGTTGGGAGAGTTTTAAATGCAAGGCATTCTTCATGAGTCAGAAGACAGGGTAGATTTGCACCTTTATAGCCTAGCTAAATAAGACAGAGAGCATATTTGTGCACCCAAGCATCCAACGAAGTGAACTTGGGTGCATGAAAGACTGTGCTATGAGCTTTTTCTATATTCAAACACATCTATATATACCTATATAGATCTATATATCTATCTATAAATAAATGTTCTTTAGCTAGTCTATAAAGATGCCAATCTCCCCTGCCTTCCAACTGACTTCAGACTAACACAGATGAATGATACCATTCTTCAGTCCAAATTCACTTCATCAGATGCTGGGTACACGAAAGCTTGTGCTACATATAAGCTGTATAGGCAAGCTCTGAGTTATACACAAGCTTTTGTGCGCCCAGCATCTGATGAGATGAACTAAGAATGTTAGCTCTGGTGTGCAGTCAGGCAGAAGGCAGGGAAGACTGGCACCTTTATAGCCTAACTAAACCACACACACACACAAACTTTTTTATACAGAGAGACAGAGAATGCGCGAACACACAAGCCTTCGTGCACTCAGGCATCTGATAAAGTCAGCAAACTTGGGTGCACAAAAGCTTGCACTCTTCCTGCATATCTGACTTAGTTTAGACATGTTATTTAGTTAGCCTACAAAGGTGCATATCTCCCCTGCCTCCTGCCTGACTTCAGACTAACACCAACCCTCTTCAACCCAAGTTTGCTTCATCAGATGCTGGGGGCACAAAAGCTTGTGCTATGCATCTTCATCTTAAGTCCCAATCATGCTCAACAGCTTTTAACATAGCCCTTGGGCATCACCTTCTATTCAAAACTAAGAATGACCCTGTAAAGATTGGAGAGGGAGTTAGCCGTGTTAGTCTGAAGCCCGTGAGAAGGCAGGGGAGATTTGCACCTTGGGAGCCTAACTAAATAAAAGTTATATAGAAAGAGCACAAGCTTTCATGCACCCAAATTCACTTCATCAGATGCTTGGGTGCACAAAAGCCTGTGGGCTCTCTCTCTCTCTGTGTTGTTCAGTTAGTCCGTAAAGGTGCAAATCTCCCCTGCCTTCTGCCTGACTTAAGACTGACACTAACACTCTTCAACCCAAGGGGTGCATCTATACATGCAATTAATGCTATTTGGCTTTACTGTGCAGTAAATTTACTACCTGCATATGCCAGTAGCAAGCTTACAGTGCAGTAAGAGTCTACACATGCAGACGGTGATGCTTTACTGCGCAATAGATTAGTCTGCTGCTTTGCAGTAAAGCATCTCCTGTAGATACGGCCAACATCACTTCATAAGATGCTGGGGGCACAAAAGCTTTCGTACAGCTTACACGCAGCACATGCTTCTATGTTTTGGGGGCGTTAGTTGTAGCCATGTTGGTCTACAGACATGGGCCAACAAGATTCTCTGGGGAAATGTGATATCTTTTATTAACCAACTAAATAGTTGGAAAAATTATTTTTTTCTGCCCAACTATTTAGCTGGACTGTTTAACTGGAAAAACTTTTCCAATCATTTAGTTGGTCTAATAAAAGGTACCATATTTCCCCAAAGAACCTCATCTGCACGCACTTTTGCACACCCAAACATCCCTGTTGGTCTGCATTCGGCTGAAGCCGGGCAGGGGAGATCTGCACTTTCCCAGACCAACTAAACAAGCCACAGAGACAAAGCATGCATAAGCTTTCATGCCCCCCGCCCCCAGCATCCCACCAAGCAAACTTGGATTGAAGCATGCGCCCAAAGCTGGCAGGCGGGCACCTGCACACACGAACTAAGTGCCACGTAGGGAGTTCCTCACCGCCTCTGTTGAAGGCAGCGGGGTCCAGAAGGCTGCCCGGAAGAGCAATGACTCCTGCTATTTAGGTGGCCTAATACCAGAGATCACCTCTACCCAAAGCACCTTCCTGCCTGCCCTCTTTCCAGACGTCGCACTGAGTTGAGCGGGAAAGGCAGGTTATTCGGGCAGGCTGCAAAGGGGCGAACCCCCCCTGCCTCCGCCCCCGGGCTCCCTTCACCCCGGGGCACTGGGGGTGGGGTGTGCTGCAAAGCGTCCCGGGCCCCGCGGGGAGGGCGCCCCGGCCCCGCGCACTCACCGCCCTTGGCGCCCACGGCGGGCTGCAGCTTGGCGGCAGCGATGGCCAGCACGATGCCCAGCAGGAACCACTCCTTGCGCAGCCGCTCGGGCAGCCCCATCCCGCGCCCGCGCGCCACTCACTGCCCGGCCGGGCCGGCGCTGCA